TTTTGCAAAAAAAAACAAAGACGGGTGGTGAAATCCCCCCAGTTTGACCAAATTTCCTTAAACTTAGACTGAAGTAGTTTTGGGTGGATCCCTTTAAACTGGCAAAGTTTCATTGAAATCGGTGAGATGGCATGTGCCACCCCCGCCTGGTCCTATCGTGGATGCACTCTTAAATTTGGTCAGCACAAACTACAGGACGTGGTGATTAAAACTTATCAAAACGCTCCGCACATGAGATCCGGTTTGGAAATGGCGGCCTGTGCAATTTCGATCAATGGCCATTTTGTCTATTTTCGCTGTGTTTCTGGCATTCAACAGAGTCCTGTCGGAAGGCCGTTTCACCAAGAGCTACAAGATTCAGTAGCCATGTGTAGCAGGTCAGGACGCACAAAAAAGTCAATCAGCGACAAGCCCTAAACCTAACAGGAAGTTTGCCAATTTGAAAAAACACTGTGACAATTTTGTCAATTTTGTCTGACTTTTGGACATTTTTGGCCATTTTCAAAATCTATCACCTCCTTCCGCTACGTCCAACACGCACGTCGCCACGGCTCGCCACTAAACAGGAAGTGGCTCATAACTAGGCTGCACGTGCTCCAATCTGCCCCAAACACGACACGCCGGATCAGAGCCCCGCCCGAGCATGTTTGCGCCACAACCCAACGTGCGCGAAGGCCGAAAATCTCAATTAACTTTGAGCTTAGGTAACGAGGACCTGTCAAATGCAGCTTGTGGCTTTCATTTTTCTTTCTTTCTTTGAAGAAATTCAGTGACAGTATGAAGGTAATTTAATGACAGTGCTCGTCTCCTCGTGTACAAATGTTCCCCCCTGACACTACTCTGCAGGGATACTGGTGCTGCATCCTGGTCTTAGCACCACCAACGATGCCTTAGATGTCTTTAAAGAAATACAAACAATCTAGGTCAGTTTTTTCCCCCCCCAACTGATATTAGAATGATAGTGAGTGCAGTCAGACCATTCTCCAGTGCAGTGGAGACAGGTTTCTCTATGTGAGTGTTTCTGTGTTGACTGAAGATTTTACATATGACTTGCTCTGCTGGGAATCTCCACCCTCTATCAAGAGAACTGTAGTGCGGCTTGTTCTGAGTAAAGGCATCCCACATGATAACAGTGAATGAGCCCACAATGCAAAGTGCTATAATTGGTAATAACGCTCTGATTTGTCTATTAAGGCTCTCAATAACCCAGAACATACAGAAGTACTAACAGGTAATTTCAGTTTGGAAACCACAGCAGCTTGGTGCCAAAGCAAAATATCGTATCTTCATACTGCAAGAAGTTCACCTTTAACCTCGTACTTATTGGGAAGAATCATGCAACTATTTGTTAGTGTGCGCATTGTAAGGGGGAAATAAGATAGACTTATATCCACCATTAAGCAAATTATTGCATCAATTAAAATGATCAAAACCAACCTTTAAATTATTCGTCCAGCGATATAATCTCTAAGTCAGCACAATAATTCTAATAAACTGTTTACTCTTGATGATCAATCCGAGTGTTTTATAATGTCAGGGAATTAACTTTGAGCTTAGGTAACGATAAAGATCGCATACGTAAAGTGACTGAGAGCAAGCTATAGAAAACACAAGAAGCGACTGTATACGCACAAAAAATGTATTGCTAACTACAACATACAAATAACAACACACATATAACATAAAACGCAAACAACGATGAAAATGCTGAGTGAGAATCTGAGAGTGAGAAACCAAATGTAGATCAGAAGTGTGGCCTGGAGACTTGAAAAGCCTTTCACCGAAAAGCAGCGGATAAACTGTTAAATTTGGAATGTTTGTTTGAAGGCCAGTCGTAGTTTTGAAGCACCCGTTTAGAGAGAGAAAGCTCAATACTTGCAGTTTCCTTGGATTTGGATTGGATTCTGGAGTGGGTGCAGCGACGTCTGGTGTTGGGAGAGATGTGGCCTTCAGCTTCAGCAGAGTTGGATCAGTGTGTTGAAGCTGGAAGTTGGTAACATGGAAGACCAAAGTGAGAAGTTCTGTGGCTGGTAGAAAATCCGTCTGTCTTTCGGGTGAATGGTTTTTTAATATTAAGATAGCTGACCAATCACAAAGAACTCCCCTCCCAAAGGGGGTGTTAGATGCGATGCCCCTGTGCTCACAGGGGCTCATAAGGTGGTCAGGACAACTATATGTACTTGTAATTATACAAGTACATATAGTTCTCCTGTTTTCCATACTACCATTTGGCTAGTTAAGCCAGTTCAGGCTCTTTGCTACCACTTCTACACCAAGGAACACCAGGGGCTAGTGCCATGCTGGTGCTCGGGCCAGTGCTTAGTTGGTCCCAATCTAACAACCAGTTGCTTTTCCATCAGCAGAGAGCCAAGTTAAGGCCACGCCATACGTCACCACATACGTAGCCGTTTACCGAACAACACTCGTGCCACACAGAAGTCCACACAGGACTGCAGACTAACTTTTTTACTGGTTTGACCAACTTTCTCATTTGTTCGCACTTCTCACATTGTCACAGGAAAAACGTATGACTTGTTGAACATTTTCTTATCAATAGACGCTACAGTTTACTGATGTTCCCCAAACGCCCCACATTGCAGGCTGTGGTAGCGGCTGTTGGTGGCTGCGGTGATCAGACTGGTGCGTGACCAAAAATGACTTTAACAAGAGTAAACCAGGGCATTCTAATGTCAGATTTGTCCAAGATGAAACTGAGTTTTTCTCATGCCGTCTTTTCTATGAGCAGAAGAAACAGCACACGTGGGTGCGCTTCATTTTTCATGAGAGGACCGCAGCATAAAAACCGTAGCACACCAAAGTTATAAAAGTCCCGTTTTCCACCACTGTGGTGCCACTGCTGGGACACAATTGTTCCAGATTTCAGGGCGCAATAGTTTGTGTAAAACCTCCGTGTGTCCCTGGACTCATTCCAATACATTTGTGATCCGACCAGGGACGTCCTGGCAAAAAACGACACAAATCACCGCTTGTGTGTCCCATTCATTCATCGGTCTCAGTGGTCACAATAACCTCGCCCCCAGCCCCTGACATACTGGTGCTTAGCTGGTGCTTAGCTCTGGCCCTGCAAAGAGTTGGTGCTCCCTAAGCACCAGTTTTGAAAACCTGGGGCTTCGGCGGTGGAAACACAAAAAACTGGTGCTAAGTCAGGCACTAGCACGGCCCTAGCACTGGAACTGGTTTGGTGGAAAAGGGGTATGTGGGTTAATGTTTTTCTTTTTCTTCTCCGTGAGTGTCTCTTATCTGTTAGCTGCCCTTTGAAGCGCTCGACGATGTGATCAGTTTGTTTACAATGTCCTGTGACCTGGCTCGAAGATGTCAAGCAAGGCTCGGGCTGTCTGATCAGTCGATTTACCACTTCTTGTGACCTGAGCTGGAAAGTTCTGTGTCCCTTTGGCATCTGTGTCGATTCATATCCTACAACATGTTCATACTTTGACAGCTAAATATAAAAGTGGAGGTCAGCATTCCTAACGATAGCAAAGTGCCAAAAAGGCAATCGTTCTGAGCAATGGTTACTTTTATACAAATCACACACTCATACACCCCCGCACACAGCCAGCTTTTCCATCGGGATCCACATCTTGGCACAGTGATGCTGTGATGCAAAAAGGGCAAGCCAATTCATTAGCTAATGTCCAATCACAGTTCTGTCAACATTTTGTGCATCAGCTTTCTCAATGGACAGAGCAATGCTAACAGTGCAGGAGAAAACATTACAGTAATGGCCTGAACTCTGCTAAGATACACTGGGTAAATGTGCACATACTGTGCTATACACGCCAATGGGAGGAGATTTCAGTTGAAAATAAGTTTGTAAAGCTGCAACAAAAAGATCTTTTTCATTTTAACAAGACAAATACTTAAATTATACACCAATGTATTAAATCTGTTAATTGACTCATTCATTGGCCACTTAATCATTTCGGCAGAACCAGAATCAGAAAGGTTCTGTTGCCACGTAGGTTTTTACCTACAAGGAATCTGCCTTGGTGTTTTAGTGCATAACAGTGAACGGTAAAGACTAAAAAAAGTGTTGCAAGTCAGTAGGCAGAAAGTGTTACAAGACTAATAGAAACAGTGTTATAAGTCAAATTACCAAGAAGTGTAATCAAGGGATTATAAGTCACAAAAAGTAGCAGAAAAATGTCCAGAGTGCAGGAATGTGTAAATCAATCACCTGAGAGTGTGCAAGGTATGTCCAAAATTTCCAATGATGTAATAAGAAAATAAACAATGCCTACAGTTGCACCTGTTATCTCAGGCGTGACAGTGAAGCCAGCACAGTGATTACTACTATTTTCTCGATAAAATGGGAGCCCTAGATAAATTATGCCTTAACATAATTGACCGGTTTGACGTGAAACTCTCACATCACACCTTATCTTGTCTAGATAGTTCCATTAAGGCACGTCTTACTTCATATTGTAAACATTGCAGAGCACATCCAACATATCCCACAACAAATCTATGTCAAATCACTGTCAAAGATGGCTGACAAGGATGGACCGAGAGCAACAGAGTGGGAGAGAGTGATGAAGATGAAATGACAGAGGAAGACAGAGGGACGACAGCCGGGTCAGGGAGACAGAAATGAAGTGGCAAGAAAAAGAAGGGAATGATTCAGGGTGAGAAAGAGGAAGAGACGGTGAGAGTGCGACACAAAAGGAGAAGGAAAAGCAAAGGTGAATATTTGACAGCTCTATGTGACTTGAGATCACAAGACCATTACACCATGAGGGAACGCTCATGACAAGACTCATGACCTGTGGCTATCGGCAGCCCCCAGCTCATATTCTGATAGAAAACTGCATTTTTATTTTGGTGCATGTGTTATTCCTCTGTCAATGAGGAGGACAATAAAATGTAGCAAGCACACTACAGGGGTACATTTGCTATTTTAATTACTTACAGTCTGAAAAACTACTAAAAACCTTTTTTGTGTCAGCATTCAGGTGACAGTAGCCTTGTTAAGCCTAACTGGATGGCAGTGGGAACATATATATATATATATATATATATATATATATGTATGGATTGCATTTGTAAAGTCCCTACCTAACTCAAATTGTAGGAAACATGACAGTGCCCTGTCTCAACTCAATTCAATTTTATTTATAAAGTGCCAATACACAACAGATGTCATCTCATAGCACTTCACAGTATAGATGTGACTTTGTTTGCATCCAAAAAAAGGAAAAAAAAGAAATAAAAATAGCAGCAGCATATTCATCTATTTGACTCATTTCTGTAGATTTAAACTATTACTACTACTACTACTACCACTACTACTACTACTACTACTACTACTACTACTACTATTACTAATAATAATAATAATAATAATAATAATAATAATAATAATAACAATAATAATAAACAGGATATTATCGAACTTCTGGCCATGCATGTGTAACTGCTGCCAGCATTTTAACCATAAACAGTAGATGGAAACACCTGTGATAAGCATTTGTTCAGAAGACCAACATACTAAAAAAGGTTTGTGCAAGCTCAAATGTTTAATTAGTATGCTTTAAGAAACATTGTGTAACAAATCCAGCTTAAAAAAACATAAGCATTGAAATACACCAGCATAATGCCAATCACTATACAAAAAAACATAGACAGAGATGGATTTCTTATTCAATGAGAAGCAAATTCAGCATCAATCAGTCATAAATCAAGTGGATCTCTAAACCTCAGTTCCTGCAGTCATCTCCACTCTTTTTATTCTAATGTCAGCAATTGAATATAAACCCTGTCAGCCTGCTATGTGAGGGTACAAATATCAATACCAGTGAGCCAAACTAGGAATCCCAGCTGGGGGATAATTTTAGGTTTTCAAGGGTCATGGCTGAGACACTCTGACAGGAAACTGTTACACTGCAACACAGCTACATTCAGTTACGAAGAAAGTTTAGAAAATGCACAATAAATTATTGAAATGACACACTATATATATATATTTTTTTTTATTTTTTTATTTTTTTATTTTTTTAAAACAGAACAAAAACATATTGCTATTGTGAAGAATTTGCTAAATTCCTAAGAAAGTAGATAGGTTACAGGCTTTGCAATTGACTAGCTGTTGAAGTAATTTGTTGCTTTTCTGTTGTTGCAGATTGAAAATCTGACAAGACATTTGAAGGCATCACCATGGGTTCTGAAAAACCGTGGTAGATGTGTGGTAGAAATATTTAATCAACTACTAGAAAACAAAACAAATGGTGTATTGTTGGATAGTGAAAATAGCGTAAGCTGCTGTCCCAGGTCTTTAAAAGTATTTCTTACCACTAAACTGAACCACATTTCGCTCACTCTGTAACTGCAGTGTTGCAGCAGTAATCATCTCCCTCTCTGACCTACTCTGTTATCTCAGTATAACCTGATTTGATGTGACTGGCTTTTATGTGAGTCACTCATGACCGCTCGCACCAGATAATACTGATGAGATCATCCACTGTCTTGTGTTCCCCTAAACTCTTACACAGACCAGCTGACTCAGACAAATAATATGATTTTGGTAAAATGTTTCCTGGACAATGTCATAAAACAACTGGCTGCTGAACATCACATTTAAGAGATACCTGCCAGGTAAATGGTAGTCCTTGAGGTTGATGCAATTTAGGCATTATTAAAGCACTTGATCACTGAAAGTATAATATAAACAAATGATCACTAGTCACGTCTCTGAGTTTAATGTTGCCGAAAGGCTGACCAACAATGACTGACCCCATCTCCAAAAAAGAAAATATTTTCCTGTCTGTGTGGCTGGAGATGCTATGTCTCTGTAAGTTTGTATACGTTTTCATTTGACTACAGGTGCGCTGCTACAGTTAAAGATTTTTGCCACTGATCTCCATATGAAGTGTTTTTGTTGATGCCTTATTACAAACACAAGGGCCTTTTTTTTAAAAAAGTATTTAGATTCAAAAATGGCACTTTTTTGTGGGCAACCCCAAGTACCATTACTTTAGCGAGTTGTGGAGCTGATGCTACTGGACTGATCATGCATTAATGAATCATAAATGCCATTTACAGCAATAAAAACAATTTCATGAATGTGTGTAAATGCTCTGTATGACATAGGGGCCAGTCAGTTATCAGCCTGGATGATCATCAAATCCAGCATTCAGCATTTTTGACATTATGGGAATTACTTATAAAAAATAAAAAACAAGGACTTCTGATCAAATAAATTAATCTGAAAATTGGCTACACATCACGAGTAATAGCCTATCAAAATAGAATGATAAATGTTGAAAAGTTCTTTTAATTAAACACATGAATAACCAATTCTCTTCTACAAGTGTCATGTTGGAGTTGGTGTTATTTTAGATTTTGACAACAAGATTTCCCTTTTTACAGCAAATGTATCTTGGTTCGAATTATCAATTATTAGTCTCCTTGATTACGGCCCTGAAATAAAAAAGAGCAAGAAACAGATTGATTAACCACTAATGTGAAACAATGTACAACTGTATATATTAATTAAGCTAATATATAGACCTTCAAAGATAGTAGCAGAAAAATGTCCAAACATCAGATTTCTAAAAGCGTGTCCTTGTCAAAATGCTGGTCACCTACATACAGTAAATTGGTTTCCAGCAGTTAAATGGCTATTATGCACCAGCTCTTATACTGATCTTGACTGTGCGTAAGTGCTCAACACACGCACGCACACTATTCGTCATATTCTGGAAGTAAGTCCAAACTGACTATTCACTCGAGCTGCAATGAGTAATTGATTAGTTGTAAAGTATTAGACAAACTGCAAAGTATTATTTAAGAAAAAAAAAAATTTAGTTTTAAATTTCAAGATTTTTTCTGGTTTCTTTACCCCTTTTCTAAAGTGCCTAAATAGTTTTAGGTTGTGGACAAAGCAAGACATCTGAGAACTTTATCTAGGGTTTTCGTAAACATTGACAAACATTTTTCACCACTTTCTGAAATTCTTATAGGCCAAACAACTAATCAATTATTGAAGAAAAAATGGATAATGAATATTATCGGAAGTTGCAATCCTGGTATTGACCATTACTCACACTGTGAAGATACAGTACATTATAGTCAGATCAACATATTGTTCCACTAAGATCTGCAACAGCTCATAAAAGTACATTATATTTCAATCACTTCTGTCCAGCCCTAAAGGTCTTTCAAGAACTTATTATACAACAAGTCTTTGATGATCAGTGCTTATAGTCACTATTAGGAATGACACTGTAAAAGAAGTGATGTACTGACTGCTCAGAAAAAACACAACACTATGACTTACAATGGGCTGAACAGCTGCCTGGGCTGCAGTCTGACAAAGAAAGACTACAACTGCAGTTCATAACACAGTCAGAGCAACTGGCTACTGATCCCAAACTGCGACTGTATACTAAACTTTAAGTATGTAGATTGTTTGAAAATCCTCTCATATGAACATACATGCACTCACACGTCCACACAGTGTGCCAGCTTGTAATACCACCTGCCACTCCATATACACATCACATGCGGACTAAAAAAGACAGCAGCTCTACTTTTTCCTCAAGCCAAGCCAGTAATAGAAACTGTCCCATTAGGAACAATACAAGCAAAATCATTTTTACCATTGAGCTACACATGAATAAATAACCCAGATATTTTGTAGCCATACTATTGATCAACTTACAAGTTGCACCTGTCTCTTCAACAGACGCCACCTTTGAGATCGAAAGCACACTAGCTACAGAATGCAAATCCGGATTTATCCTGCGTTGTGTGCTTACTGTTTTACTCAAGACTGACTAAATTAGTCACGTTTGAACCAACAATAACTAATTTGACGCTCCGGGATCTGATTCCAACGTCTGCCTACCCTCACATAACTTACAGCGGGGCTCTCGGTTCGTGACTGGCAGCCGAACTAGAAAATACCGGTCGTCTCGGGAATCAAACCGCGGTTAAAGCGGATAATCTCCAGGCACCGCATCAAAGGAACACAACCAGCATCCATGTTGGTTAGCCAGTCCATAGCCTAGCCTGCACTGAGCGATATGAGGGGTTTGAATAAGCCAGCTAGCACTTAGCTCGCTAACTAATCCAAGGGCAGCAAAGCTGACTAATGTTAGCCCGCTGAGCTAACTCTGTGCACTTCTTACCTTATCTCACTCCTGGGCAGTGTGGCTTCTGTTTCTCCTTTTCACTGGAGCCTAACTCGAGTTTTATAATACTCGCACCCCAGTTGCGCTTTGCTTTCCGTCGCTAAACCATTCAAACAGCCGGTAGTAAAGCCACCGAGCTAACGGCTACACCGGGAGCGAACGAACTGTCAGTCCAAGCACACGACGGTCGCGAGGAAACCCTCCCACTCTTCCTCTGCTCGTTCCCGCTGGCGCGCTCCCGACTTAACAGGAAATCAACACACGACGTTTCAAGGAGGCGACGCGAAGAAGAAAAACTTGTTTGTTAATTCGGCGAACACAACTTCAGGTATTTGAACACAAAACCTTTCGAATTTTTTACTTCACTTAAAGCTTGTCAAAATGCACAAATGTTCAAAGTTATTTTTCCTGAATTTTAAGTGACTTTAGCTAGATAAAGTAAGTAATAATTCGGCTTGGGTCGATCATCGGTTTAGTCGTGTCATGGGCTAACGTTAGCATTGACAACCAGAATGACACAGCCACAACTCCCCACAGCTAATGATAGCAAGCTAGTTGGCTAACTGCTGCTTTTGTTAGCTTTGCTTTCAAAAGTCTTTGTAACACAAACAAACAGCACAATCCTACTGAAACTTTTGGATCGGAAATCAACAACACTGATGAGCAGTTGTTACTTGTGGGGTATTAATTTTCTACGTAATCGGTGCAATAATCAAAATTAAAAATGACCAAACGCTGGCAATGCAAAGTTAAGTACTGGACCTAACATGTCTTACGAAGATTTTAAGTTTCCTGCATCATATTCAAAAGTAAATTCTAGACTTGTTAAAGTATTTCGGTAATCAAATATGTTTGTTAGAGTTGAGCAATGTACATCAGAGCTGAAAAGTGCGCAATGTATTAAACGTAGTCGTTATAAGTAAAAATAGTTGTAGTGGTAGCCAGTGTAAATAGTTAAGTAGTGTATGAAATAAAAATGTAAAATCTATAAAATGGAATAAAAGTAACTGGATTTTATTTAATGTATTCATTTGTATGGAGTGTGTTTAATCGGATTCAAGATTTCACACTATCATAATAAGCACTGTATTTTTAAGTGTAGCAGTTTGAAAAGAAAAAAAAACATTTCTGTACTATAGTTGGTGTCGCTGTTACATTGCTTTGCAACTACACTGCCTGGCCAAAAAAAAAAGTCGCCACCTGGCTTTAACTAAGCAAATAGGTACGAGCCTCCTATTGGATAATTACTGCATGGGCGATTATCTTTCAGCTGGCAACAAGTTATTTAACCCCAACTGGTGCAATGACTTGCTTCTCATTTCCTAAACAACCATGTCGAAAGACACATCCCGTGGTCGTGGAAAAGATGTTCGTTTGTTTGAGAAGGGTCAAATCATTGGCATGCATCAAGCAGAGAAAACATCTAAAGAGATTGCAGAAACTACTAAAATTGGGTTAAGAACTGTCCAATGCATTATTAAAAACTGGAAGGATAGTGGGGACCCATCATCTTGGATGGAAATAAATCTTTTGACATTGCAGAAGCTTATCGAAACAATGCCACAGCGAATGCGTGCCGTAATCAAAGCTAAAGGTGGTATTAGAGCGTATAACCTTTTTTTTTTTTGGTGGCGACTTTCTTTTTGGCCAGACAGTGTATTTTGATAATCAGTTTATAGGTTTCAGCAATTCTCTAAAGAAAATCTAAAAGAAACGGTCGAAAAGAAACTCCTGCACATTTTCAGACTTGCAAAAACACATATACATATATTTGTGATGTTTTAGTGCTGGACCATCATCAGATTGATGTTATTTTGTTTGTTTGTTTTACAAAGAGAAGCAATTGGCTGTAATTCCATAACCAGTCACATTCTCCACATAATGAAGGAGTTCATGAATCCCAAAATAGCATTCTGCTGAATGGCAGTTTTCAATAATGTACAGAAAGTTACAAAATCGTCTAGATAGTATCAAACATAAATATACTCCCAGACTGATTTCATTAAATTGGTAAATTGATTTGATGTAAATGCATAATACCTCCAAGTGCCAAACCACATTCCTGAAAACTATTTATGTATTTAGGGATTTATGTAAATAAATATGTAGAAATACATTTGCGCTGCAAGTGAAAAAGAGCACTGATGAATAAAACAGTATATCGAAAAAGTCAAAATACTCTGATTCCAGCTTGTTAAAAGATCAATATTTTCTGATTTTCTTTTTGCTGATGTGTGACCGTAACCGTAATATCTTTGGGTTGTGAACAAAACAAGACATTTGAGGAGGTCATTCTGCTTTGGTAAACACTGATAAACACTTCACTCTTTTCTAATAAACCCGACAACTAATGGACTGATCCAGAAAATAATCGACTGATTAGTAGACAATGAAAAGAATCCTTAGTTTGGGCCCTGTTTTATACTGAATCTGCCCACAAATTTAAATAGAAATTATGGTGTTTGAATGCTGCTTTCCTATTAGTGCACCAGAGATGGCTCATAGCTATACTACAGTTAAACACTTGTCTGAGTTTGTTCAACCGACTCCATTTTGTTTCCCATCAGTGTCTGAGACGGTAAACAAAGCGATTGAAAGATGTCGTCAGGCGCTCTCTTTCCCAGCCTGGTCAGTGGCTCCAGGGGAAGCTCCAGCAAGTACCTGGTGGAGTTTCGTGCTGGTAAAATGACCTTGAAGGGAAACACGGTGACACCGGACAAACGAAAGGGCACAGTGTACATCCAGCAGTCTGATGACTCCTTGATTCACTTCTGTTGGAAGGACAGGACCACAGGAAATGTTGATGACGTGAGTAGTGCAGCTGAAAAATAATTTGACTGCTCTTTGGTCAAGATCTTAATAAAATAGTTAAATTATCTCAGACATATTTTGGTGTATCTGTACTGTAGCATATAGAAACATACCAGGAAACAAGATTTTTGCAATCAGCGCACATTTTCCTGACCCTGCTTTGTTTCCTCCTTGCTTGAGGCAGCAGTAAGGATTTGCTAAATGAAGACATAAGCATAAATTTGAAGTAGTTTGTGATCTTGTGGGAATACAACTGCTAAATCTGACCATGTTAGTAGTTGGTTTTGTCATTATTTGATGATTTTAGGTCTGTCTCTCAGTGGAATTAAAGACGAACATGTAAAGCCCTTTAATTAATGAGATCCTTAACTAAGCCAACAGATCAGTCTGACAGAATTGGATTAGAACTTGTACTTAATGATGCAGGCTGCCAGCAAACAACTGTGTCGATCCTGAGTGTTGATATTGAAATAATCAGCAAAGGTTTTGACAGCTGGCCTGGTCACACTTTCAGAAACTCAGTTGTTACTATTTTCAGACATGCACATATCACAAATACTGCAAAGAAACCGAGGGCAGAGGCAGCACTTCTACAATGAGATGAAAAGACTGTCAACTCAGTTTGTCATTTTTCTTGTTTCTGTTCATTTTGTATTTGTTCAGATGAGCAGTTTTGATATAAACAATGCTGACACAAGGCTGAATCCTGATTTAGCTGCCTTCCATAGAGTAGGGAAGGTGACTGTGTCTTTATTTTAGTGCTGCAATGATGTTGCTGCCTTGATTTTCCCTTTTGAGTGTCTTGTTGATGATTGTTTGTTGTGTCAGAGCAACCACTGTGTTTTCATCCTCTCTCCCTTTTATATGTCTTACACTGTGTTATCCCTGTTTCAGGATCTGATCATCTTTCCTGATGACTGTGAATTTAAGAGAGTGAACCAGTGCACCACTGGACGTGTCTATGTGCTGAAGTTCAAGGCCGGATCTAAGAGGCTGTTCTTCTGGATGCAGGTGAGAAGAAGATGCTGCTCATCTGCCATTTAAAGGGTGAAGAACTAAAGATATGAAATAGGACATTTGTGGTCTTTTATGTGCAAGCAGATGGATGTTTAATAGAGGGAAACTGAGTGGAAAAATGAAGTGGGAGGCAATGACAGTGATGAATAGAGAAGAAGAGAGTTTATTATTGTACATTCATTCATGATGACAGGGTATGCATGGCTGTATTTGATATTCATGATTAGTATATTTCTCCTTTGTTTCCTCTTTGTCATGTTATATTCTGGAAAGATACTTTTACTCAAATAAACAAGGTTGTACCATCCTGAGGACACATTTTGGTAAAACTTTAAAACAAAAAAAAGATTTTCTGCCTACCAGAAATATTATTTTTTCATAGCTTCCTGTGGTTTTGTTTAGAGTGTAGTTTATGAAAGGACCAGAAAAACAATAAATTTAAATTTGCCCAATTTTTCTTGTCTTGATTTTGTATTTAATCTTCTTGATGTGTTCAAACCTGTTCTTTGTCACCACACTGAAATAACTTGAGAAAAAAAATTAAATGATTTGACCTAATGACCTAATTTGGTCTATGAAAAAAATGTTGTTTTGATTTAAAATCATTTTTGTGTGCCTCATTCTCATCAGGAGCCAAAGACTGACAAAGATGAAGAGTACTGTCGTAAGGTGAACGAGTACTTGAACAACCCTCCCATTCCCGGAGCACCTGGCAGCGGAGGTGGCAGTGGCCATGAACTGTCAGCACTCGGAGGAGAGGGAGGCCTGCAAAATCTGCTGGGAAATATGAGCCACAACCAGCTGATGCAGCTGATTGGACCGACAGGACTGGGCGGACTTGGTGAGCAGCACTGGATATTTCAACGTGGAATATTCACAACGTGAAATATAAACTGGACTCACAGCCTGAGTAGATTTTGATAAAATAGGCATCACTTTGGGCCTGTTTTGATATGTTTGTGTTTGTCTAAGGAGGCCTAGGAGCTCTAGCAGGACCAGGACTGGCCAACTTGCTGGGCAGTGGAGGACCAGCTACCAGCAGCTCCTCCTCCAGGTGAGACTAACCACATGCAGCTCACACCAACAGTGTCATTATAGACTCAAGTCAGCACATCATATATCATAAATTACAGCTGACATTTTGATGTGTTATTGTCTCCATTTCTTTTCGGTCTTCTGTCTTCTCCCAGCTCTCGTAGCCAGTCAGCAGCAGCCACGCCTTCTTCTGGTGGAGCTCCCAGACTAAGCTCCTCCCAAGCCCCCACCACCCCTGTAGCTCCTGCTGCCTCAGCTTCCTCCTCTACTGGGGTTGCTCCCTCCACACCAGGTACATGACGTACAGTACCGCTGTGTCCGTCTGTCACAATTAAGAATCACAGTCCCCTTGTCAGCCGTGTTAGTGGCTTCCTGCTGATCAGTTTTTGAAAATAGAGTAAACCATATGCTTACGTTCACGTTTATGTCATAGATAATGAGGCAGCTTTACACTCAAACGCATGATACAAAATACAGCTGCAACAATTTTTTTTTGACACAGATTAATCTTCAGATTATTTGCTGTATTTACTAATTATCCCTCTGATGCCCCAAAACCTGCCAGTTGGTTTTAAAGGCATGTTACCTTTTGAAAAATTAACAAAATTATACCATTGATGAGTAAAAACTGTAATACACAGAAAGAATTGCTGGGTGTTCAAAGTTCAGATGATTCTGGAGCTACTCATATGTGGCATGCTGTTCCATTATGATATTGATCCAAGTCTAAGCTTAAATTGCAAACAAATTTGTCAAAAACAGACAGTAATAAATAAACACTACCTTTGTTAGAGCTCAAAGGGAGTGTGCAAAAATGCAGAGAAACTTCTTGGGGTTTAGAAGATTTTGCATTTCTTCCATTCAATGTTTATTGTCCCTTAAAGAAAAGCAGCAAATCATTGTCATTGAAAGGCTAAAAATGAATGAATTATGGCTGTTGTGTTTGAATCCCATCAGATGCCTCCTTGATGTAACTGCGTAATGAAAAATAATCTAAACAACTTAAGCTCTTGAAACTTTAAACAAGAGTGCATAATTTGATCAACAAATAATACTTGATTTTCCCATTTTATGTCAGAGTGTGAAATGTTTCATTTTTGAATAACTTCTGTGTATCTGTATTACCTGAAAACCCTGTGACACTTACTCATTTGCAGCCTCAGCTCAGACACCAGTGGTCCCAGCCTCTGTTGGAAGTCCTTCTCCTCACCAGCCCATCCAGCTCAGCGACCTTCAGAACATCCTTGCCACCATGAATGTCCCAGCGACAGCGGCTGGTCAGGGGTCTGCGGGTGAGTGACAGATTACTGATAGTGATTTGGACGTTCGTCACGGGCCTGTTGCTGTCAAACACTCAGAAAAGCAAACAGAAGAGAGTGAATTCAGGACTATTTTAGTAAATATAACTACTCACATCCCTCTTCTCTGCTCCTGTGCAGTGGACCTTGCAAGTGTTTGCACCCCAGAGATGATGGCTCCCATCCTGAGTAATGCTGAGGTCCAGCAGAGGCTCCTGCCTTTTCTCCCCAGTGGAGAAAGTTTACCGCAGAGTGCCGAGGAGATCCAGAACACCCTCAACTCACCTCAGTTCCAGCAGGTAGGAAGAATTAGTGAACACTGAATAAACAATTCTATTCAAGACGTGTTCTTTTTATTATGAAATACAAGCAATAGCAATAAGAAAGATCAGCTTACTAGCTCCGTATTAGCAAAACACACCTACTTTAGCTATTCGGTTGTGAACAGACCAGGGGAAGACTGAACGTATGTGTTTGGAGTAACAACAGGATGACTAAGATTAGAAATCCTGGCATCATTTGTGAACAGTGATTGTAATGCGCCACTGCATTTCTTTGGAACCTAAGTGTGTTTTAAATACTGCAGCTTGAAGTCAAACAGTTTTTGAAACCAGTTCAGTGACTGTAGCCTCTCCCCTCCTCAGTCGATGAGTATGTTCAGCAGTGCCTTGGCCTCCGGGCAGCTTGGCCCTCTCATGAGTCAGTTTGGTCTGCCAGCAGAGGCTGTGGACGCCGCAAACAGGGGAGGTGAGACAAACGCACACAAGTGGTGTTCTGACTTTATCTTTCAGTGAAAATACTGGCTTTGCAGATAATCGTTTTATTGAAGAAAAAGTGTTTGAGTTCTTCTACCAACACCAACAGCTAGTCAATGAAAGGGTGATAGCTAATAAAACAAGACAGAGTTTTCCTGCAGCCCCCAAATCACTTATTCTGCCCTGCTGTATGATCTGAAACTGAATTTCTAAGCAATATTTTGGAAAATGCTGTGAGGGTTTTACTGCAAAGTCAGGAAAGAAATCCATTTCGGAATTTTTCCAATAATGACAGCAGAACTGATGATGTCGAGGTGTACTGATCCTCCACTATTCAATAATTTATTTCCGGGGCCCATGTAATACCATGTTCCGGTACTCATCCCTAATTATAAGTCCTATTAAATCCAGTGGTGGTGTTTAGTTGCTGAGCTGTAGCAGAACAGGACAGTAAATACATTACAGACGTTTTCTACTGGAATGACTTCTGAAGATTCCTACCTTATTTGTCTGAGATTGCACTAACAATATTGTATTATATGAAGGAATCCCTTTTGTTCTGTTATTTATTCGTCTTTCTCCACATCAGATGTGGAGGCGTTCGCCAAAGCCATGCAGGACAGTAAAGGAGACTCCAAAGAGAAGAAAGACGATGACGAAGACATGAGTCTGGATTAAAGCTCAACCTGCTGAGTGTTAGAAAATCTGTGATTCCTTTTCTGCTCTTTTCTTCTTTACCTCCCCATCTTCAGTGTTGTCTTAAACTTTTCTATACCAAAAGCAACACTCTGCTCCTACTCAGGACGGACAGCACAGGGTTAGCAGAGCTGCAAACAGATGAAAGTTGGTTCAGTTTTTACTGTGACCACCATGTCGAGGTTTCTGTTTGACCTGTGTTTGTCAGCAGCTCTGCTTCATTCTATTGACCATAAGTTTTACTCTGAAGGAGAGAGGTAGTTTTTTTTTTTAAATAAAGGGGGGACTGAGCCTTAAGTTTTTTTTCTGTTGTTACAGCACAATGCTGACTGTCAGAGCCTGAGTGAGTGCTGATACTTTCAGGCTTTTTTGTGACTAACTCTTGATAATAAAACGATCACAATGCACCTCAGGTCTTCTCCTTTTTTTTTTTTGCAGATGGGAAACAAACCAAAGTGTACAGTTGATATGAAAAAGAAACTTTATTCAAACATACATTTACAACACAAGAGGGCTGGGAGTGAGGGGGTTGGACAGCTTATTCTCTCTGTGAGATATTTGTGGTTATATTAAATACAAGCTTCACACACTTTGTTTGGTACATGTTTACATATATAACGGGATAGAGATGGGAAACGCTGCCTGTGACACAGACAGAAGACAGATGGGACAGTCATGTGGCATTCAGGTTGCAGAGTTGTTTCGTTCTGGAGGGTTCATCCATCTTTATAAATAGTCTGTTTTACCCCTGTGGCAGAAAAGAGACGAGCCGTAGGGGAGTGAAACCAAAGTGATAAAAGTAACGGCTCATGGCTGGATGTCAGAATACCGGCATCCCGAGCAGTGCTTTTAAACAGGTGCATTGTTCATCATACTGAAAAGACCTTTCACCCTTTTTAGTTTTAAGCCAATCAGCATTCAACTTACACTAGATCTGAAACAGTTAACTGATTAGTTCACAACTGCTAAATTAATCACCTATTTTGATAAACGGTGTGAGAAATTAAAAAAAAATAATTTTTTTTTTTTTTTTATCTGATTCTAGCATCTAGAATGTGCCAGAACAACCACAAATCCACTTTCAGAAATAATGCGTGACGAAGCCTAAAAAGAAACAGTTTTTTAACTCTGAAATTTAAACACTGAAATCAAAGTATATATGTATATATAGAAGTCTAAATAATGTTGGGAACAGCCTATGTTTTGAGCTCTCATTCCTTTTTACTCTGCATTTTCACAGAAAAACTCAGCTCTTTAGTGGTTGAGACTTAATTAACTCTGATATTCCCAGAAGTTCAGTCCCAGTCCCTGTCGCAGGCATCATTACCCATCTGCGCTGCCTGAGGACGTTGCTCATTCACGTATCACAGTGTTCACAGTGTACCGACTCAGTAGGTATACTCAACATTCTCTGCTTAGAGATGCACGATACACAGCTGTAGTTGTTGCAGATTACTTTTTTCAGTCGTTAAAAAAAAAAAAACCCAAAATGCTAATAAAATCAAGTTGTGTCACCATTATTTACAATATACTACACATTTTATAACTGATTTAAGATATTTATTTTAACACCTTGTATCAGTGCATCTCTGTGCAGACTTGTTACTGCAGTAGCACCCTGTAGCACAAAAAAAAAAGAGTAATGTCTCGACAAATGGGAAAATATAAAATATACATTTTTCTGAAAATAGAAAATAAATATTAATATAGATATTTTAAATTAGCTACAGTAACATGACACCCACCACCAGTATTTTGTAGTTGGGGAATGTGAGGATAAGACTGTTGGGTCTACATTTGAGGGCAGCCCTGCGTTCCCACAGCTCCGTGCACTGCGAGCGGTTTGGACAACATGGCAGGCCTGTGGTTAATAGTTGCTCGGCGGATGCAGCCGTGGAAGACCGGCAGGCCGGCAGGTAGACCGGGCGCTGTGACGCCACCTGGTGGACAGAAAAGGGAACACCATGTAAAAAAACAGGTGGAAGAAGTATGCCAATCCTTTTCACCCTGTGGACCCAAAGTCATGTTATACACAAAAACAAAAAGTTACAAGGGTTACCCAAATTGATCAAATCAATTGTGACACTACATAATATGGATAATTAACTATTTAATTTTTTTTTTGTTTCCCTATCACCTTTCTGTTATTTTAAAACAGCCTGCAGTTCAGCTGAAAAGTCCCTGAATTTTTGTCACATTACTGTTGGTCACAAATGAGTCTTTAAAAGGCTTCCTGGTTGTGCCAAGAAGCACAGAAATATTGTTTCGTTTACAGAATTTAGTACAAACATTTTATTATTGGCTTTAAAAAAAAAAATGTAGCCACGTAGAATAAAGTGATTTATTGAAATATCACGATTTTAAGCTTTGATTTAGTTCATTTGGTTCAGTCGTTCTCTGTTTGTAGTTTCTAACTCTGATAAATGGTGTAATTATCCGGATTTTTGGAAAGATAAGACACTGTTTAAACCAAATATTGGTATCTGGGGTTAAGAGGGTTAACATTCAAGAGAAAACATGACATGGCTGAAAGAGGATCAGGAAACGAGTGATATGGTCAAGTCATATTTTTGGGATTGTCCAAAGGAGCTTAGGTTGCACTGCTTCTATCAGCTATCATCTACCAAATACATCCTCCTAATTAAAATTTCCTAGCTCTCCTTCCCAACATGTAAATACTGCTGGCGCCCTGATTTGCTGCCTGCTCTTTTGGCCTCTCCACCACCCCGGCATCCTTTTATAGGCTTCAGAGGGTAATATTTTTTCTCAGTACTCCCTGATATTTCCACGTAAACATAACGTAACTGTGAAAATTTTTGAGATGCAAAGCTTTAACTATAATGCTGTGGCTTTAGTGAAACATCTCGAATGTGACCAAAATAAAGAAGTGAGTGTATCAATGTTGTGCACTCACCGGGCACGCCTCCGAGGTAAACGGTCACTTTGGCTCCTGCAGAGCGGCTGTGTTTGGGGCCGACGCTGTGCTCACTGGCTCCATCCACATTGAGCTGCAGAATGTTGTTTTTCTTCACCACTGAAGAGACATGTCAACATTACAACAGGACGACGCAACTGTGACCAGTTTCACAGACAATTTGTTGACGTAAACTCACCAGTGATTGTGTGCCAGCGTCCATTACACAGAGGATCCTCAGGAGTGAACGAGGTAGAGTATTCACCTTTGCCAGTGTTTATCGAAACAGTCACCTGCACACAGACACACAGCGTTTTCAGGTTTTACTTTTTAGTTGTTAAAAGCTGATATATACGAGGTGTGTCATGAAAGTTTCAGGACTGGTGTCACAAAAGATATATTTCAAATCCAAACTACAAACTATAAGTTTTCCCCTCCGAAGTAATCCCCTTGGAGTGTAACACACTTTCCCAGCCTTCTCTGCCACACTGCCATGCACTCCTGGAAGGATTCTTCCGGGATCCTTGCAGCTGCGTTGTCACAGCCATCTAGATTTCATCTACATTTTCAAACCGGATCCCCTTGATGACCCCCTTGAGCTTGGGGAAGAGGAAAACTGTCGGATGCTCAGGGCATTGTGAGTAGGCGTGTTGTCATGGTGAAGCAGCCACAACTTGTCCTGCCACAACTCTTGCCTCTTCTTGCGCACTGAATGAAACAAATGCAGCAGGATCTCTTTGTAGATGTGCTGGTGATTACTTTGAAGGGGAAAACTTGTAGTTTGGGTTTGAAAAACATCTTTTGTG